GGTTAGAAATGTTCCTAAAAGAAGCCCTCCTACAAGGACAATACCAATAGCTTGACGTGCTTCTGCACCCGCGCCTGAGGAAAGGATGAGGGGAATTGCTCCAAAAACCATGGCCCCTGTGGTCATTAAAATAGGTCTTAATCGAAGGGAAGCAGCTTCTTTTATAATCGTTCCTATATTTTCTTTTTTATTCTGTGCCATTTTTTGTTTTGCAAACTCAACAATGAGAATCTCATGCTTTGTGATAAGTCCAATCAGGGTGACCAACCCAATCTGTGTAAAAATATTAAGGGTATGTCCTAAGGCGTAGAGGCAAAGAAGGGCTCCAAAGACAGCAAGAGGCACTGTAAACATGATAATGAAGGGGTCAGAAAAGCTTTCAAACTGAATCGCTAGAATGGCATAAACAAAGAGGAGAGCCACAAAAATAAGAAGCAACATCATTGCGGAAGATTCTTCTAGTTTTTTTGCTGCTCCTGTAAACTCATATTGTATATTTCCAGGAACGACTTCTTGAATTATTTTTGTAAGCTTTTGAATTCCTTCGGAAAGTTTGACGCCAGAATCAAAAGACACATTTAATTTTGCGGCACGGAACTGGTTATAGTGGGTAAGTTCTTTAGGTTGGGCAGTTTGTTCAAGAGTCATAAAATAAGATAGCGGAAAGCGAACGCCTTTTTTATTGAAAGCATAAATTTCTTCTAAGTGATAAGGCAAATCATTTGAATGTAAGGTGATTGGATAACGAAGGCCGTCTTTGGAAAATTCTAGATGAAGGTTTTGGTCCATCATGATTGAGAGGACATCAGAAACCTGTTGAGGTTCTAAATTGGTTTGGGCCAATTTTTCTCGGTTAATGATGGCCTTGAATCCAGGGGAGGTAAAACGTAGGTTATGATAACAATCTTTAAAAATTTCTTCATCTTCACAAGTTTTACGTAAGGTTTCCATGATTTTGCTTAAATCTTCATAATCACCAATGGTGAGAAATTGGGCTGTTAAGCCACTATCTTTGGCGGAAGCCTGTTCTACACCAGGAATGCCTGTATCCCAGTTCCAAGGATAGGCTTGAATTGTGGGCACTTTCTTAATGTTTGTTCTTAGCTCCTCTACAATTTCTTCGGCACTTCGTTTGCGTTGACTCCAAAGCTTTAACGGAACAACAACTTGAGCACCCCAAGCGCCTGAAAAGGTGAGGTAACTATGTGCTTCTTTAATCTTAGAGAGTTCTTTTTCAACAAGCTTAATGTACTGGTCAAAGTCATCTAAAGAAGCCCCTTCCAGATAAGGCATCCATACGCCAATAACGCCGCGATCTTCTTTGGGTGTAATCGCTTGAGGAATAATCTGGAATAGAGTCACGCATATAAGTAAAATGCTGATACAGCTGAATAAAATGGCCTTAGGTCGTGCCAGGACGGTTTCTAGAGCAGAATCATATTTTTTTGTGACCCATTCAAGTCCGTAATCAAAGAAACGGAGCGCTTTTAAGGAAGAGAAGGCTTGAGGAAGTTTCTGACTTTCTTTTCTTAAAAGACGACTACACATCAATGGCGTAAAGGTCAGTGCAACAATTCCAGAGACAATGACGGCCCCGGCAAGGGCGAGAGCAAACT